ATTTATATTATATTATCTTATAATTCTTAAAAATAAATAATTAATATATATAAATGATAAATTTATTGAATATATTAATAATTAATATACATAATGAAAACATATCAATATTATATATATATAATATAGACGCATGCAGTTCTGTTTATTAACTGCTAGAGCGCCAAACAAATTAAAAATTTGTTTATATGATTTTATATTTTGTTATTTGTCATTTGTATATAGATTGACTTACAATACTTTGCACAGTAACTTGTTTACAGTCCTTAGTCAATGAGGTAGCAGAATGGAGAAGAGAAATTAAAGAGCAGAAGTGAAGCTAAGCCAAGCAGGCCTTTGAACTGTTCGTACAACAACATTTAGCCTCTCCGAAGGTCAGGATGCCCATTTCGTGGCAGTGCGTTCTTCTCTTATCGTTGTTTACATTCATTTGGGTGAATTAATAGCGAGTGATTGATTTCAGAACAAGTTTGAGTTGTTGCACTAGACGCAACGGAAGGGCCTTGCCTCCGACTTGCATTCAGAGTCACTCTTTTCCAGTTAATACTCCCTCGCTTGTTCCTCGCTTGTGTTACGCTTTGTTCCTCGTCCACTCCAAACATCTTGTTCTCCTTGGGGAACAATGCCCTAATTTGTAATTGCAATAAACTCCTGAATGTGAGGACATGCAGCTTTATTGGCCTTTATCTTTTTATCAGCATCGTTTGTCATGTTACTACATGTATTTACGTTAGCACTATCTATTTCCTGGATCTACGTTAAAATGGATGATACCTCTCCAGCCTCTGCTCTGCCCAGTTTTCCTACCTCTCCGACGCACAGCCCCAGGCTTCCTTTCCCATATTCCGTCATAAACATCTGTTCATCCGTGAAATGTATCACTTCATAAACACATTTGAGGCTTGTTTATGGTGGATTGAACTGTAGAGGTTTCAGTGTTTTTCAAAGGGACGGTTTCACGGCAGCTTTATAGTCCTGAAGTTGGTTGCCATCCAGAGTTTTTTTCCCTCCTTGTTTGTGTCTGTCAGGACCTCCATGTAGTATCCCAGAGGGACAAACTCTATCATACTTATGTCTAGCACTTCAGGCACTTTAAAGGCAACTTTCTGTCAGCTTGTGGCTCAGCCACTCTGGGGTGCATTTCTCAAAAGCATCATTTGCTAACTATGGTCGCAAGTTTCATTGAACTCTATTGGTAATGACGGACTTGCGACCATAGTTGCTTTTGGGAAACGCACCCCTGGATAGTCCATGAATGAGGTAGACAACACAAGACATGCAAGAGCAAAAACACTGCTTTCCTATTTAGTTTCTTCAGGTTGAACAAGCGTTTCTCATAGTTTTCCTCATGTCAACATCAGCTCACAGTGGCCATGGTCATACTTCAGTTTAGGGCTGAAATTCATGGTAATGTCATTTCACAAAACAGTTGTTTGGTAAAAAGGTTGTTTACTGTACTACAGCATTAAATTACTGTACAGTCACTACCAGCGACTGGAATTTAAACCTCAAATATTTAAGTATTTTAGTTAATATTCAATATGAATAATTATTAATTATACATTTTTTTCAAGTTAGTTTTTTCTTATCATTTATCTTTATAAATCCTAAATATAAAGATATAATTATAAATGTATAAATGTAAATCATAATTTATACTTATAACTCTAAAAATAGACATAAATCTTAATATATAAATGAAAATCATGAATATATAGATGTAAATCTGGATATATGCAGTTATAGGTCTAAATATATAAATATATAAATGTAAATCTGAAAATATAGATAACAATTGTCCCTACACTAAAGTGCTACCATATATATATATATATATATATATATA